TATATTTTAAAAAATAGACATTTAAAGCGTTTAAATAGAAGAAAATCTTAAAAATTTGTTGGTAAATGCAACGATTTGAAATACCCGTATAAGTGTGAGAAAATTGTATTCATAAACGTGTATGTCGAAAAAATTAATGTTTCGTGTGTCTGTACGACGAATATTTTCATTTTTATGTAATTATTTTAACGCTCCTGAGCAGTGATGACTTCAAAGTTAAATTTTCCTGTAATATAAGTAGAGTGCATTAGTGCATTAAAATAATTGTTAATTAATCGATGCGAGTGTCTATAGTTGTCTAAAAGCTCGGAGTATATGTCTTGTGTATCGTTCTCTTCGAAATTCTCCTTCAAACTGGCACGTTGTCCTCTATGAAAGTTCTTTTATTAAATATTGTTTATATGACTTTCGGAACGTAGCACATGTGCATAAAGAGAATAATCTATCTAATAAATAGAATTTAAGATTGTAACGTTCTGATTTTAGTATTTTTATCATTTTTATCATTTTTATCATGTTTTTCTGTGCGATGTGATAAAGTTTTTAGTGTATATTGTCTTTATTATAATCGTTAATTTTTAAATATTAACAAGGTACGTGTACCTCAAATAGAAAAATAGAATAAATTTTTTATTTATTTAATCAATAAATTACAATATTACACTTGACTGATGTGGTTATGAAGAAAGCCGAGTTCCTTACGGGTGACGGCAAGCTTTTGTGCATGAAATACATTTCTAATTGGTTACTTAGATTTTCAAATTGGTCACTTCACGACCGAAATAATTATTAGCCAATCAGCGCTCTTTGCAGATTTTCCTTCTTTTTTTACACGGCGTCGATGCAGAAGATCGTACGAAAGTTTTGTCGTCCAGCTTAATTCAAGTAATTAAAATATATTTTTAAGGTACACCTTTCTATTATTTATCAAACGATAGCAACAAGCAAGATTTTTATACGTGAGTTTTTTCAAAAGGAAATATTGAAAAGTTCGACAGATATCCGTGAAAGTGAAATCATCCATGTATCTCGGCTTCGCGCCTAATTTCACCAATGTTACTTAAAAATATTTTTTTCTAATTTCGAGCTTTTTCTTCACGGTATCGATACTTTCTACTATCTCTAATGATGCTCTAATTAATTATTTTTCATAATTATGTCTTTATAAAGATTGTATTTCATATTAAATTCGACTTTTACCACATACAAACACAACAGGCATCTATACATAAGTATAGGTAGCTCGTACACATACACTTATGTATTTGATTTTCTTTATATTGTACTAATGTAATTTTATTTTTTTTTTACTTTATTTAAGTTTTCGAGCATGGGGAGAGTCCAGCAGGAATACATATACTCAGTTTAAGGGGTTACATGGGTTTAGGACTTTCAAAAAAATTTTTTTTCTTTTATTTTTTTTCAATTCTACAACTCATCTAGAATATTGTATTCAATTTTAAAGTCGATAGGAGTAATAGTTTTAAAGATAGAGCCCTGGGAAGTTCCACTCTTTAATGGCTCTTATACCAGCACTCAAATCTTTCAACGCGTTTTTCTCAAAATGCTTTTTCTAAAGTCGGTTGTCAAGATTTCTCGAAAACTATTTAACCGATTTTCATGAAATTTGCTACACGTTTTCGTGATACTATTGACAAAGACTTGGACGAAGGATTTTCGTTTTTTTCATAAAATCGAATTTTAAGAAACCAAAATGTGGTGCAAATTGTAGCGAAATTTGAATGTTCTTCCTAAAAACGTTGCCAAAAATCCAAATTTTAATTTTTTTCTTTTTTCTTCGTCCAGTTTCTAGTTTTAAGTATTTACTAAAAGACCCTATTTTTTCAACAGAAAAACTCCCACCGTTTATAAGTTCTGCTGTCAACACGAAAACACTTTTTTTCGGTATGGTCACCGGAAATGACGTCGCAATGGCTGAGTTTAAAATATTTTTAAACCAAAAATTCAGAAAATGTTCTTTAAATATGTATCTTAAATACTATAAAAAGTTTGAATAAGAACTCCATTTTTTATATAGAAAAAAAAATTGTTGAAAATATGCTATTTTTTGCCGATGTAAACCCATGTAACCCCTTAATGCATTTCTGAAGGCACACATATGTTTATACATTAAAAACTAAATATAATTATTTAATTTTTTGTATATAATAACATAACTATACTATATATACTATCATATACTATCATATACTATCAAAAAATACGGTATTTTTTGATAGTATTGTACTATCATCGCATTAAGTACCTACTATTGCCCTCTGATGGTCAGGTAACTAAATGAATGTGGTTACCCGAAAAGTGGACTTGTGAGCTTCTATGTACTTATGTATTCTTTCATTAAAGTAATTGCACTATGTGAATAAAACACTAGAGGTCGCTTTTAGATCTAGATTAGTTCCCGAAGAATACCAATAATTGTAGAGGGCGTGTCGTATGTGTTGTACACTAACCACTAAGTGAGCCTACATTGATAATAAAGACTGAATACAAACTTTTCTCCTTAATTATATTGAATTTATGAAGTTAAAATATGTCGGATAGTTCGGATGAAGAATTAGCTGGTGGAGAAGGAAACGAAAAATGGGTTTTATACAAAAATCGTGATGAATGGAATGATGTGACTCCTTTATCTCAAGACGATGGTCCTAATCCAATTGTTGCTATTGCATATTCAGAAAAATGTAAGTTGCATTTTTCAAATTTAATATTTCATATCGTATTTTATTAATTTAAGATGTTATTTAAATTTAACCGCAACATTTTAAAATGTTTCTTTCATATCTTATTTATTCATGTTTACTCTTGCATATATACTTTGTTTATGTGTATCATTTATTAATTTGTAGTTAAAGATTCATATGATTATTTCCGAGCAATTTTAAAATCTGGTGAAAAGTCTGAGCGTGCATTAGGATTGACGGAAGATTGTATTTGGTTGAATCCTGCGAATTACACCGTATGGCAATTCAGAAGAGAAATACTTAAGGCTTTAGGAAAAGATTTTAAAGAGGAGTTAAAATATATCAATAAGATTATTAAATATAATTCCAAGAATTATCAAGTTTGGTATCACAGAAAAGTTATTGTCGAGTGGTTGCAAAATGCTTCAGAAGAATTGGAATTCACTGAGTTTATCTTAAAAAAGGATGCTAAAAATTATCACGCTTGGCAACATCGTCAGTGGTGTATTAAAACGTTTAAGTTAGTATGAACGTTCTGTTGTTGTGTTTATTGTTTACTTTTATAGGCTCTTTCCTATAAATTATAGCGTATTGTCTTTAATTGCAGTTTATACGACAAGGAGTTGGAATATGTAGAGGAGTTGTTAATGGAGGACGTTAGAAATAATTCTGCGTGGAATCAACGTTATTTTGTTATAAGTAATACAACTAAGTTCGAGCCTAATGTCATCGACAAAGAAGTTGATTTCACTTTGAAGAAAATTTCTTTAGTTAAAGCAAATGAAAGTGCCTGGAATTATCTTAGAGGGTATTATCATATTTTATTCTTATTTTACCTGGTTATAATTACTTGCATCATTATGCGTAAGAATGTCATATGTTATTCTTTTTTTTTTAGTATTCTTATGCAACAAAGCGGTGGTTTAGTTCATAATGACAAAGTACGTAAAAAATGTATAGAGCTTTACGAGGAAGGGTATCGGACCAATCATTTGTTAGCATGTATCATTGATATTTGTCAAGAAAGTCATGTAAATGACGAATCACCCGAATCAATATTTCACATAAACAATGCTCTTAAGGTAATATTTTAAAAATACGAATATACGTCGTTTAACTATAAAACATTTATTCCTTGAATACACACAAAAGAAACTTCATTTTGATATTTATATTATTTATAGTTGTGCAAAGAGCTATCCGAAAAACACGATAAGATAAGGAAACGATACTGGAATTTTATTGGCAATCAGTTATTACAGAAGTTAGAAACTGTCTAATAATATTTTAAAAATCTATTCTTGTGTGGTTTTATCAAGAGGTTTATATAGGTAATCGTTACATAGTTTTACTATTGAAACTTTTATAAATTGACTTTTATCTTTAACAATGATAAGATGTATATATTAAGACATAATGGTCACAAGGTTATTTTATTTGACAAGATAACTTTTAAGATTTCTTATGTTTCTTAGAATATCTAATTTTTTTATTTTTAACAAATAAAAGAGTTTTAAAAGACAAATAAGATCTTTTAAACGAAAAATAAAATGTGGAATCTTTGGGAGAGACAGTAGTGTGCAGTGACGAACATTAATATCTATTTATTTATAAAATAGTTACAGATTCCCGTGTATAATACATAATTAATTGGCAATAATCATTCATTATAATAAACAGCTAGGCGTTTGCATAAACTAATCATAAAAACCTAACACACGTTTTAATATAGCATTTCTATTATCAAAAGGGATGCTAAATTTGATAGTACCCTTTACTAAACTTATAGAAATCTTATTAAACCGAGGCTTTGTTACTAAAAAACGTGAGACGTTTTATTTTTTCTTTTTTTTTTCTTTTTCATCTCAAAATAGTTACATATGCCTTTTTTTCAAGGCAGTAGTAGCGGATCGTCTGAAACGAGAAGCGATTTTCGTTGCGGACAAGCGACGGGCAGTGACTGTGTTGCTCGAGCCGGACGATTCGCTTTTACGTCTAGATATGAGAATTTGTATCCTTTCTTTTCATTATTCTTCGCATTTTGAAATCTTGTTTTCATTAGTTACTGGCCCTCTTGTAGGATCTAACGATACCCTAATGATATATAGGAAAGCATACTTTTTTCAAAATTTCTATTTATTTCGGCTAACGTATGTTGATAATATAAAAAACACAACACACTTTTTCTTCTATCCTTCGAAATCTTATCTGATGAGTAGCGTTACGAACTATTATTTTAAAAAATAAAAAGCATATGAAATAAGATAGAACAAATAAAACGTAAAAATAAAACGTCTCGAGTCAAATTTACTCGTTAATTTTTATCAATTGCGCGACGTTCGATAAACAAAATATTTATATACAAAAAGATATATTTTTTTTGTTAGCAATTATTACGTTATTTGTTAAACATTAAAACCAACGCTCGATCGCTGCTTCGTTTATTACCGACGATCATATTATTTATACAAAACCGCGGAATAATAACAATAATAATATTAATAATAATAATAATAATAATAATATTAATGCAATTTAAAATGAAGCTCTCAGCATAGATTTGTCTTCGTTGAGAGGGGATCCTAAAGCACGGTTCATCTATCCTAACATTTAACAATCAACATTCAAACGATTACTCCTCTGCGCAATAATATTTCTTATCGAATGGGACCTTCGCTTTATTTCTTTAATTTGCATTTATGTTAGATATATTTCATATATAAATATATATGTATATACACACATATAATATATATTTATTTATTTTCTTTGTCGAATGGATTCAAAATAAGCGATGTCTCTTCGAAGAAGCGCAAAGGTTCTTTCCATTGTTACAACGACAAGACACGTTGAATCTATGAGATACGTAGTCTTATCTCAGCTTTATACACATATATATATATATATATGTATATATATATGTATACATACTGGATTTACACTGAAAATATATCCTTGTCCTGAATATTCTTTCATCCTCGTGATCCTCATCATCATAATCATCTTTTTAATCATCATCATAATCATAATAATCATCATTATCATCATCATCATCATCATCATCTTCATCATCAATATCATCATCATCATCATCATCATTATTATTAATATTTCTATTATAATCTTTCGTTTTTAAAATCCGTCATATTTTAACATCGTATAGTGTGATTTCTGTCTATATTATTATTTATAGTGTTTAGATACGCGTCACGTATAAAGTTACAAGTAGAAAGAAAAAAGAAAAAGATCTTACCTCTTTCTTTTTTTTTTCTTTGTGTTCTCACATTTTATTAATAATAATAATGCTAAGAAAGTATTAACAATTTCGTGTGTCGTATATTTTCTCGTTTAATGGTTTAATATCATCTCTTTTTTATTGTATTCTATTTGATCTTTTGTTTCTTTTTTTCCCCTTGCGTTTTTAATACGTGCCGCGTATTAAAAAAAAAATTGTTAGGCTATTCTTTTTAAGTTCTCGTTTATATTTCCCCTTATAATAAATAGTCTATGTTTGGACCATCTGTCATCCATTACAAGCACAGCCCGATCATTTAATATTCCTTCGAGTTAGAAACATTCGAGATCGTTTTAAGGATTCTTCTTTTTTTTCTTTTTTTTTTATATAGATTTTCTTCGTCCACCTTTTTTTAATATTTCTTTTACTTTTATTTTACTTTTTAAATTTGTTCTTATATTCTTTTTCTTGTATTTTGTTTTGTTTTGTTGCAAATAAATCCTATTTTGAATTTGTTCTCTCGTGGCCCTACCAAAGGATGGAGTCGAAGTTTTAATTTCTTCCTTTTCTGTCCAGCAAGATAACGTGTACAAAAGATACCATAGGGAAGTAAGTTTCTCATTTGAAGAATCGAATTATTATACTTCGTGTTAACTATTTCGAGAAGGAGATAGATTTTTTTTTCTATAGAGAAGATAGATCTTCACAGTTCTATATTTTATTTTTCTTTTTTTTTTCTTTTTTTTTTTTCCAATTGAGAGAGAGAGAGATAGAGAGAGAGAGAGAGAGTATGTGTGTGTTTGTTTTTCTCACGAGTAATTACATTACATATATATAAGATAATACCACCACGCTCAATTTGTACCTGCTTTAACACTAAACATACAAAGATTTAATATATATATATTTTATATAGAATGAGATTTTTTAAACAATTGGATAGTAAACAATTGATCTTCTTTTGTTCAGAAATGAATAATGTACATTTTATGAGTTTCAACCGAATTTTTTTTACAAATAATAGGATTTTTACAAATTACAGTACACGGTCATTTGACCGATCATTGTACGTTTAGTGTTAATATTTTGTAATCATTCTAATTATCCTCTCCTTTTTTATTTTATTCATCAAGAATTTGTCTTTTCTTATATATTCATTTTTATATTCTCGGAGAATCATTAAAAATATTAATACTCGAAGCAACATCATCGATTATATTTAACATCGTATAAATAAATAACGATGATATCATTTTATTATATATTAGAGAAAGATATTCGATATTGAGAGATATTATGATTTTATTAAACGTCGTTTGACGGTGTACCCTTTTTATGATCCATCTGTCATCATAGTAATACGTTAAATAGAAGAGGAAAAAAAAAACACAAGAAAATATAATGATGCATCGATGAAGTTGCTTGATAACAGTGACCTTGCATTTGGATGTGTATATACGCACATACATAATTTTAAGATCATCATTGTGTTCGTGAGTTTTTAAGACGATTTGTATTTTAAAATGTTCGTGCCCTTTTTCCATCTAATTATTCTTCACATTTTTTAAATGTTATATTTATGCCGAGAGAATCGATTCTAATCATCGTGCAACAATGCGTGCACGTGCGTTTGATGCTTCCTTTTTATTTGTTTATATTTTTAAAAAGATCTGTGTGCTGACAGGCATTTTAAATTACTTTTACGAGATAGTTAAGAGTAAACGACAGACAAGAGAAAGATATTTGTTCTAATTGTAGAGAGACATTAGACGTTATATATGTAAAACCACCCTCTATGAGAGAAACACAGCAAAACTGTATGGTTACTTAACACGTTTCCTACCCCGTTTTCGGTATATTAAAGTGTACTTGCACGCCAAGTTGATTTTTTTAATTTGAGATAAGTAATTGTTGGTAACATTTGATGTTTACAGTAATTTTTAGCCTAGAAATGACATCTTTTCATAAACAGTATGACAGGGAACGTGTTAAATAACAAATACGCATGATCTATGTGAACATATTTGCATCAGTGAAGTATAATGGATTATAAGAGCTAACACGCAATGAAGACCTTCCATTTGACACCTTCTTCGTTTAATATTACTATTATTATTATTATTATTATTTATTATTTTGTAATATTATCATTATTATCATTATTATCTTGCGTTAATAATCTTGGTCTAAAACGTTACAAAGATTATCAACATTTAACGACAAATTAATTATTTTCCCTTCCCTTTTTTTTTTTTTTTTTTTTTTTTTTTGTGTTTTTTCAATCTCTTATTAGGTCAGTCTAATTTGGCGTAAAAAAAATTTCTTTTCAATGCTAAACTTTCTCTTCGAACCATTTAAAAATACTTAATCAATCCTCATAATTTAGGAAAGCGACTATCGCATCGAAAATCCGCTGTTCGTTCTTTCGTGTACGTGTGCAATAGCGTGTGTGTATGTTTCTTCTGTTGTGTGTGCGTGTTCAATCTATCGCATTTTTCGATCAAAGAGATTATGGGACAAGAAAGTATCGATATATCATCTAATTTTTCTAATATACATCCCACAGATCGTTTATTTAATTTCTGTATATATTTTATTCTTCTTCTTCTTTTTTTTTTGCATTTTTATTTATTTCTTTTTCGTCTGGGTTTTTTTTTTCTCTTTTTTTTCTTTTTTTTTCTCTTTCACACAAGATTGGAATCGAAAATATCTAGACGACGTAATTAGAACGCCCCATTCCCCACCCTTCTCCCTAATTTTAATTAAATCTTTTCTTATGATCTTTTTTTACCCCCTCCTCCCTATAACACCTTTCCCACCCTTCTCCCGAACCCCAATTTTGTTTTTTTTTTCCGGTTCGATACACTTACATTAATTAACTTCAAAGACATGCGGTAGTGATCGAGTTGATATGAGACAACATTCGATGTTTATCTCAAAATAGTATTATATTAATTATTATACACACGTAAATGTTATATGCTGTAAAAACTATAGGCGCTGCTAAAAATCGATTAACAATATTTAATTCGTTTCTTCGTTTAATAATAACGTTTCATTTTCTTATCTCTTTTTGTTTTTTTAAATCCGTTCTTACGTAAACGCTTTTCCATTTTTATCACGACTAAAAGGCCGGAAATTTTCTTTTGCAATTTTTTTCGTATAGACGACTTCTTAGAAAAGAAAAATTAGGCAAATTAAGGATCCCCCCCGCCGCCCCCTGGTGGAATTTTTTTTTTTTTCAAAAGTATTCAAAAGTAATAAAATAAATATCTCGCGCGCGTAACTATGAGTTGAAGCTTTGATCTTTTTTTTTTTATAATCCTTTCTTGCATATTAAATTTGTGTTCTTTTGTTCTCTTTTATCATTCTTTGGATTACCTTTCCTTAATTTATAGTTAACCAGAAGTAGGCAGTGATTGGAAAAAGATCAAATATACATAAAAACACACACATACATACATATATATATATATATACAATATATATATTAGGCCTACCGGAAAGTTCTGTTCGATAATGTCATTCTCTTTTGTTTGTTTTTTTGTTATCATTGTATTTTTACATAATAATATGTGCTCTCTCTCAAAAATGATGTTGTTCAGTGGGTTTTTTTATATCAGCAATGTGTTATTTTATTTATTTCGTTTTTTAATTCCAAAACGGACAGATTATTTCCGGTATATATCGGTATATATAATATATATGTATATATGTATATATTTATAATAATCTTTTTCAAAGTTAATCGTCATTTGCACTCGCCCTCGTCTTGGTCCATTTTCCGCTAATCGATCGGCGACCGTTGCTCGACGAAAGCTTTCACGTATTTAATATTTTGTATGTGCGTGCGTGTGTGTGTGTGTGTGTGTGTGTGAATGATAATAACAATTATACGCGCGGTTTTTTTCTTTTTTTTTCTATTTTTTTTTTGATCGAAGAACATTTCCAATGGAAAATTCACCGACCCCTTTGCCGTTTTTCGTGTACCATATTTTTTTTCTATCAATTTTCTATCTCTTTCTTTCTTTCTTTCTTTATTTTATTCTGTTTCTTTCACATTTGATTTTTATTTCCATTAAAATGTCATCTTTAGCAGCACGCAGTCTTTACGAGCTAAACAATTTTTCTTATCGAGGGTAACGTTTGCTTTACCTTTTCACAAAAATAAATGTTTTTATGTTATTTACCCCTATCTAATTATTAACCCTAACTATCTTAATATAATTATTAGAAACAATGAATCCCCTGCATTCTTTATAGACTTTTTTTTCTTCCTTTTATATTATTCATATTTTCTTTCTTTCTCATTTACTATTCTTTTATTTTATTTATCTTTTTTCCATTGTCCTATATACTTGGCAGCGAAACGAGATTTACCGATTAATTTCTTTTTTTATATTTTTTTTTCACGCATTTCAATTATATATATATAATTTTTTTTCTTTTTCTTTATGATACTCGTTTCTTTTTATTACGTTCCTCTCATACTTTTTCACACGCACATACATTCTTTCTCTCTCTCTCTCTCTCTTTTTTTCTAATTTTCGCACATTTAGTTAAATAGGCGAAATTGCACACAACTGTCATTAAAAATCGTACGAATGTCTAATTCTACCCGTTTTGACCTGACATAACAAAAATTCTACCAATTACATTTACATATTTGTGCCAAGGTAATTATGACAATGGATTAAGGGGTTACATCGGTTTGGGACTTTTAAACAAATTTTTTTTTTTATTTTTTTTCAATTCTACAACTCATGTAGAATATTGTATTCAATTTTGAAGTCGATAGGAGTAGTAGTTTTAAAGATAGAGCCCTGGGAAGTTCCACTCAAATCTTTAAACGCGTTTTTCTTAAAACGCTTTTTCTAAAGTCGGTAGTCAAAATTTCTCGAAAACTATTTAACCGATTTTGATGAAATCTGCTACACGTCTTCGTGATACTATTGACAAGGACTTGGACGAAGGATTTTCGTTTCTTTCATAAAATCGAATTTTAAGAAACCAAAATGTGGTGCAAATTGTAGCGAAATTTAAATGTTCTTGCTAAAAACGTTGCCAAAAATCCAAATTTTAATTTTTTTCTTTTTCCTTCGTCCCAGTTTCTAGTTTTAAGTATTCACTAAAAGACCCTATTTTTTCAACAGAAAAACCCCCACCGTTTATAAGTTCTGCTGTCAACGCGAAAACACTTTTTTTCGGTAGGGTCACCGGAAATGACGTCGCAATGGCGGAGTTTAAAATATTTTTCAACTAAAAATTCAGAAAATGTTCTTTAAATATGTATCTTGAATACTATAAAAAGTTTAAATAAGAATTCCATTTTTTATATAAAAAAAAAAATTGTAGAAAATATGCTATTTTTTCCTGGTGTAAACCCATGTAACCCCTTAAGTCACACAATTGGAATATAATTCATTTTATGATTTATTTTATATTACAATTATTTATATCGCAAAATAATTAATTAATCATAGAATAAGTGTTTCTTTTTAATTATTTGTGACTCTTACTATTGTCATTATTACCAACACAATTATATATATATATATATATATATATATGTATACACATATACGTTTAGGAAATTACGCATTGTTTTTTACGATACAAATCGCAAGAAAAAAAAAACAAAAATAAATCGTTCGTCTCTCGAGTGACTTTCGTTTACCCGTCGCATTACCATTCATGGTTTGATTTTGAAAATCAATAGGAAGCGCAAAGGATGTTAATTAAATTCATTTTTGTCAGGCGTCGATGCGTCGCAATTTTATTATTAATTAAATAAAATAATTATTTTTTTTATATATTTATATTCGATATGCTCATAGAAAAAAAAAAAGAAACAAAATCAAGGAAAAAAAAGATGGGATTATAATCCGCGTTTCTATACTGAAAGAAATCTCGATTCTACGATATTATGCGCGGTGTAACTTTATTATTATTATTATCATTATTATTATTATTATTATTAATATTAATATTATTATTATTGTTGTTGTTGTTGTTGTTTTCTTTGCTCGTTATAATTTTTTTAATTTCTGTTCTATTTTATATATCGTAAGCTGTTTTCGAGTGTGTGAGTAAGTAATTAATTAATTATTTACTTTGGTCACAGGGTGAACTAGGAAATTACTATTTTCTTTTACAACGAACCTTTTATCTTGATTTTTTTTTTCTTTTTTCTGTATTTTTCTTTTTCCTCTTCTTTTTTCTTCGTTTCAATCTTACAACATCGTAGATATTATAATTACTGCATTTTTGCTAAAATTAAATACCACCTATAGTTAACTTGGTCTCTCGTGTCCGCTTATTCTTTCTCTCTCTCTCTCTTTCTCTCTCTCTCTCTTTCTGATATTATCGCGACGATAAATACAATTTAATTAAATCATTTAATTCAATAATTATTTAACGTTAATTATACAATGCTTAGGAATTATTTTCGTTGATTTCTTTAGTTACAGCAACGTAAAGTATTTTTTTTTCTCTCAGTGTTTAGAGAGGTGCCCATTAAAAAAAATTAATCAGATCTTGTTTAGATTTCTTTTAAAAAATTCGATCAAATTATTACATCTCTACATTTGTCTTCCTTATATCGACCAATCAACGAACGGTACTCGATAATCGTACGTTTTACAAACGATTTACGTATCTTCACTTACATAACGATTATTTTTTGGCACCCATATAACAAATAAAATTAAAAATCAAATTAAAAACAAAAAGACAAATAAACAAAAGAAAAATCAATTATTACATATTATACATCGGTCTCTTGTCTCTAAATTATCCTCTCTCTCTCTCTCTCCCTTTTATTTATTTTTTTTCTTTTACAACAAAACTACGTACGCCTTTACATGTAACACGGTAAGATTTATCGTTAAAACATCATCGGATTTGAATCCAAAATAGTTTTTTTTTTCTCATCAGTTTAATCTCTTTTCAACAACTGTCTTCTTTTATTATATATTTCTCTCTCTCTCTCTTTTTCTTTCTTTCTGTCTATCTCTCTCTTTTTTTTTTAAGCTTCCGCAGGATCTCAAAGAACAAAGTATACTTTATTCCTATTTTGTAAAGAAGAAAACGTTCGAGGCGTATCCTTCGAAAATTCCCTGAAATCTTTTGGCTGTTTTCTCATCCTTCCCCCCTTCCTCCTCCTCCTCTTATCCGTTACATACATACATACATAAATATCATCAACATATATATATGTATATCTGACGTAACTTCTTCTTGTTCCATTTGTCTCGTACACTTTTTATTTCTTTAAACGAGATCAATTCGAAAACGAACGACGTGGGAATAAGACAACAACTTTGGAATCCTCTGGGGTGATGGGGGTGTGGGGTGAGGGTTGGGGGGAGGACACAGACACGGAGATTCGAGTCTCCTCTTCGTGAAAGATGCTTCCTATGTTCCAGGAAGTTACAATGTTCAAATGCCAAACGATCGATCTCCAGCAGCCAAAGGACTCTGAATAACCCCCCTTCAGGTCCATGGTGTGTATCGTGGTCGTGCCGAGTGTCAGAAGGCCGTGTCCAATGCCGCCATGCTCGTTGAAATATCCGGATCTGCCTGACATGCTTCCAGAAATTCGGACAGTGTAACTACACCGTCCTTATTTCCATCCATTTTCTAAAACATATATGATTTCAATTAGTTATTTCCCTTGTTTCTCTAAAAATAAAATTATTAATAAATATGTATCGTAGGGAATTTGGATATTAAAAAGAACTAGAATTTAGTTTTGATTAAATTGGATGTTTCGTCCCTTTATTATTGGGACTTTTTCAGCAACTGGAAATTTTATTTTTTTGTTATTTTAATATTGTGAATAACACACATGAGACCCATATATTATAAAATTAGATTAGATGTTACCTTAATCCCCGGACAAACAAAATAAAAACTTAAAAAAAGATTAGATCAGCATAGAAATGACTGTAAATCTACTAATGTTAAGAAAACTAWTACCACCGCGTTAGCTGAGCATGGACATTAAAAAGAACTAGAACTTAATTTTGATTTAATTGAACGTTTCGTTCTTTTATTAATGGGACTTCTTCAGCAGCTGGAAATTTTATTTTTTTAATGAGAAGGTATCACAGGGAACTTGGACATAAAAAGAAGTAGAACTTAATTTAACTAAGTTGGACGTTTCGTCCCTTTATTATTGGGACTTCTTCAGCAACTGGAAATTTTATTTTTTTGTTATTTTAATATTGTGAATAACACACATGAGACCCATATATTATAAAATTAGATTAGATGTTACCTTAATCCCCGGACAAACAAAATAAAAACTTAAAAAAAGATTAGATCAGCATAGAAATGACTGTAAATCTACTAATGTTTAGAAAACATATACCACCGCGTTAGCTGAGCATCATTTTAAAAATAGGACATAATTTTAAATTCGACGCAGCACAGCGATTTTAGATTTAGAAGACAATTGGTACAAAAGAAACATTAGTGAAATGTACCACATAACTAATAATAATACAGTTAATTTTAGAACAGACACAAATAATTTAAACAACATTTATAATGGAATTTTTAAATTTAATTATAAGAAAAAAGAACACTGTAATATAGGACACCTTAACAGTGAGGATATATAGACTAATAAACACTAGTCTAAATTGAAACAATTTTGTTTGAGTGTTCAAATATAACGGATTAAGATATAACGAAGTTTAGATGTTTAGTTTTTCGAATATTAAAAGAATGTATGTCTGCTCAAATAAAAAAGACGCTAAACTTTAGGGATTAAGGTAACATCTAATATTTTATAATGTATGGGTCTCATGTAATTCATGCTGCAGAAGTCTCAATAATTAATCAAAACTAAGTTCTAGTTCTTTTTGATATCTAAATTCTCTACGATACTTATTTATACATGGTTTATTTTTTTTTAATAATACTAGAAATAATTTTCTTCTTTTTTTTTTTTCATATCATATATTTATTTATTTTTTTTCTTTTTCTTTCTCGATTATTTTTGTCACCCCCTGGATAAGTAAATAAAAAAAAAGAAACAAATCGCGGCTTATAAAAGAATGTTAATTTATTTTTTATTATTTATTTATTTTTAAACAATATTTAATAATAAAATGTAATAACAAACTTAAAGTACGAATGAAATTTCTTTATTGAAACTGTCAAAGCGTTAAACGAATTTAGTAAAGGGATATTACGAAAATTTATTTTCTAATTGAATATCCATTGACATTTCGTAAATCATATAATTATGAAATGCTGATTAGTTCCACCATTATCTATAGGAAGTGTGTTGGCGTTGTTATAGTTTGTTTATGAGAACCGCAACATGATCTAAAAGTCGGCTAGGATTCTTCGTTGTTTGGAGGGGTGGGGAACGGCAGGAAAGTGAGCTCATTGGTGGATTTTGCACGACCACTAAATCGTTAGACGACAGGAACGAATCGTGAAATTACTACAGTGCCTTTAGTGATACACAAAGCTTCGGGCATGCTCGTACCGAACAACGTTTTGTGGTAGTGGTAATGGTGGTGGTGGTAGTAGACGATGTAAATTTGTGTTCCAGTAGGCGTGGTTAATTGAAATCTCGTTTTACTACGAGTTACTGGTTTCGTCATCGAACCTTTTCAAATATCATTATAGTTTATGACGTTTACCATTCTATTCAATTTTTTCTGTTAACATTTTGTTTGTTTGTTTGTTCTTTTTTTACACTTTCACACGTATTTTATAAATATTCTCTTTGAAGTTAAATCAAAATATAATATATAATACTTTGTTAAAATATTTCAATATTTTATA